TTTGTGCCTGATGCGCAAATGCCTTGTTCTTCTCATGCTAGCTGGTCTGCAGAAGTGACTGTTCCCATGCATTCAACCACGACCCTCTGCCCATAGTCTGCTCATGCCTCTGTTCCTTGTACATTCCATAAAAGCTAAGAGCTGCTGTGAAAAAAGGCCTTTTGTTCCTTGGAGCAATTCGTCATCCCAGAGTTCTTTTACAATTGCAATTTTTTCTTGATTTCATTTTCAGCTGTGTACCACATCACTAAGAGACTGAATCTTTTAAGAGGGTCTTCGGTCACTGGGGGCCCCCAGTAATAAAAATCTAGTGGAGCTAAAGAAAGAGACAGAAAATATGAATGCTCAACAAAAAAAAGTACATAAAAATGTTCCAAAAAGAAATTCATGAGATGAAAAATATGAAAGTATGGGCAGCAGAAGCAACTGATGTGAGGAGAGAGTGTCACACCTAGAAGACAAGTCTATGGTTGGTCATTCATTCATGATAAAAATGCTGAACAAAATAGGTATAAAAGATCTTTATCTTAACCTGATAAGAGCCATCTTTGACAAACCAACTGCCAACATCATACTGAATGGAGAGAAGCTGAAAGGTTTTCCTCTAAAATCAGGAACAAGATATCCATTATCACCACTTCTGTTTAATATAGTTCTTGAAACATTAGCTAAAGCAATATGTCAAGATAAAGAAGTAAAAGGGCTATGGAGAGGGAAGGAAGAAGTTAAGTTATCATTATTTGCTGATGAATGATCCTCTACATAGAAGACCCACAAAACCACCAAAAGATTCCTAGAACTAATATCATAAACAGAAACAAGGGCAAAAATAACACAATCATCTCAGTAGACACAGAAAAAGCCTTTGACAAAAATCCAGCACAATCTCATGAGAGAGAGAGAGGGTAGGTAGATAGATTGATTGATCGATAGATAGATAGACAGATGATAGCTAGTTAGCTAGCTAGCTAGCTAGTTAGATAGGAAGTAGGGAGATCTTTTTCAAATGGTTGGGGGGCCAACAGATGAAGGGAGAGGGAGGGAGGACAGGGAAAGAAGATGGAAAAAAAGAATTAAAGGAAATTGAAAGGAACAGTTTTTACAAATGGGAAGAGGACCAAGAGTTGAAAGGAGCAGGGAGGAAGCAGAGTTGTAGGGGAATACATACGAATCAAGACATATTGTGTACCTGTGCCAGTTCCTCATGATGTAGTGTACTACTAAAAAAATAGATGAGGGTCTTGTTATGTTTCCCAGCCTGGCCTGGAGCTTCTGAACTTAAGTGATTCTCCTCTCTCAGCCTGCAGTACAGGAGAAAGGTTATTGTTTAAAGGTCTTATAGTAAGTTGTGGTGGCACAAGCCTGTAATGTCAGCACTCTGTGAGGCTGAGGCAGGAGGATCACAAGTTCAAGCCCAGCCTGGGAAATTCAGTGACACCCTGTCTCAAGATAAATAATAAAAAGCATGCTAGGATGAAGCTCAGTGTGAAGGTCCTGGGTGCAAGTCCAAGCACTGGAAAAAAAAGTTGATTTTTGTACATTGATTTTGCAGCTGGAAAATTTGATATGTAAAAAAACTGTATTAATCAATTATCAGCAGAGGTGTGTATGTGCGTGCGTGCGTGCGTGCATGCGTGTGTGTCTCTGTGTGTTTGGTGAAGTTTCTACATTAATAGCTCTGAAGGAGGTGTACTGCCCCCTGGGGGAGATTTGGGAATATGTAGAAGTTTCTTGTGTCCCAAACATCAAAATGCATATTACTTTAGTGTATTTTTCTTTTGTTTATCTTTTATATTAAAGTAAAAGCACTAGACTTAAAAAATAAATGTGTGAACTGGGTTTGGTGGCACAACTTGCAATCCCAGAAGTCTGGAAGGCTAAGGTAGAAGGACTGAAAGTTTGAGCTCAGCCTAGGCAACTCAGCAATTTAGTAGGATCCTGTCTCAAAAAATAAAAACTCTAAAAGGGCTAGAGGGAAAAAAAAACCTCTGGGGATGTAGCAAAGGCTGAGGATGTGCACGAAGGTAATATATGTGTTCAATCTCCAGTACTGGGGAAAAAAGAAAAGAAAAAATAAGCAGACTATGTCATTTGAGAATTTCCTTTTAGCATATAAAGGTTGACATTAATTTTTGTAGGAAGAAGTTGGATCTGATAGGGTTGTAAACTTCTGAGGTTTTAACATAGATCTATTTCCAATCATATTTTTGTATCCTCATTGTGGCAATCTGGATTGCCTACCTGATTGGCTTGAGCGCTGTCTAGGGGAATAGTAAGGCACACTTCTGGGTGTATCTGTGTGGGTCATGGAGGTGTAACTTTGGGGACTATATCTGGCCTCTGTGCCTTTCTTCCACATTGTCATGAAGTGAGCATCTTTGCTCTGCCATGCCCTTCCGCCATGGTGTTTCTATGTTGGAACCCCACACCATGGACTGAAACTTCTGAATCCATGAGCCAAATTAAACTCTCTTTACATTGTGGGCATAAAGTGTTTTGACCCAGCAGTGGGAGAGTGACTAAAACATCCATTTTGTCATGTTTTCCAGTGCTGGACAATGTTGAATAAAAGTGTTGACAGGCACATTTGGCTCTGTTCCTCGCCAAAAGGAAAAGTTTTCACTTCTTACTAAGGTTGTCTTTCAACTCACCAGTGGATGTTGAATCTCCTTACCCCTCCCATCTGAGATGATCATATTTCTCTTGATGTGATGAACCACAGATGGACTTTCCAGTCTCGTTCTGTTTTTGTGTCTTTGAGACCAGGTCTCACTAAGGTGCTCAGGCTGGCCTTGAATTTGCAATCCTCCTGCTCCAGGATTCCCAGTGCTGAGATAGATCCCCATGCCCAGCCAGCATGGCAGGCTCCTTTTTGTCTCATTTGTATTTGATGTTTTACCTTTTTTGTGGTGCTGGACGTGGAACCCAGGCCTCTGGCATGAGGCATGGAAGGTAAGCCCCATACTAATGAATTATACCCATAGCCTGTGAATAATTTTCTTAGTGCTAAACCCATCTGGACTTTGTGGGATAAACCCTCTGTCTGCCCCAATACATTCTCCTTTTTGCCTACTGCTGCTCTCACTCCCTTTGTTACTGGGGACTGAACCCAGGGCCTCTATGTGCCAGCAAACACTCTACCACTGAGCTATATCCTCAGCCATCCTCTGCTAGATTTTTATGTGGAATTTTTGCATCTATGTTTGTGAGACAGGTGCATTGGTTTCATAGCTCATGGCGTCCTTGGGAAGTGTGAATAGGAAAGCCATGCATGCCTCATAGTGGGAGTTGTTGGCACTCGCTGGCTGGCTGCTTCCGCTTGTCCACAGGATTCAAGGGCTGTGTGCGGAGGCAGAGTCTGATTGTCCTCCTGAGAAACTTATAATGAGGGCGCTGGTAGTTCATGTTGTTCATCATCTCCTTAGTACCCCAAGCTGCCTCAAACCATCACCCAGAGGCCTCAGTCCAGTTTATCAACCTCTTGTCCAGGGAACTCAGAGCAACTACCTGGACCTACCGTGGCTGCCCTCTGGTGGCCACAAGGTGCATGAGCTGTAGGAGCCAGGCTGGGTCCGCCAAGCGGTGGTGCCAGGACAACCAGGTGGACATGCCATGTGGCACCACACAGTGCCAGGGCTCTGTGGCCCATGCAGTCTTTGCTGAGCCTGTGCACATGAGCAACCCACCTTCAGAGATGAGTGACCAGTACCCACAGTCACACAACTGACCCATTCCCACGGCTTTCCAACTTAAGCAGTGAAGTTCCTTAACTTTAAGATCTTGTGTAAAGTGTGAACAATCCCCCAGCTGTCCAGAGAAATGGGAGAAAATTGTTGGTCACAGTGGTAGACAAAAGCTCCAAAGATGTCTACACTGCAATCCCTGAAGCCTGTGAATGTACTAGGTAGCATGGCAAAGGAAAGTAAGTATATAGATAAAGATTGCTAATTAGCTGGTTTTAAAATAGGAGATAGGTAGATGTGTTAGTACAGGCCTGTAATTCCAGCACTCTGAGAGGCTAAGGAAGGAGAACTGCAAAATCTAACCCGAGTCGGGCAATTGAGTGACTTAGTGAGCTCCTGTGTTAATGAACAAACAACAAACAAACAAAAAAGAAAAAGAAAAGAAAAGGAAAAAGATAATTCTGGATTGTCCAGGTGGCTCCTAAAAAGTGGAAGGATAGCCAGTTATGGTGGTGCACACCTGGAATCCCAACTACTGGAAAGGGAGGTAGGAGGATTGTAAGTTTGAGGGTAGCCTGGGCACCTTAAAAGGCCTTGTTTCAAAATAAAAAATAAATAAAAAGGGCTGGAGATGTAGCTCTTGTCTAGCATGTTTGAGAGCTGGGCTTGATACCCAGAACTGCATGCAGGAGAAGTAGGAGGCAGAAGAGTGGGAGAGAGATTTGGCTATGGAAGTGAGAAACAGAGAAACACAACATTGCTGGTTCTGAAGATGGAGGAAGAGGCCCTCTTGAAGTTGGAGAAAGCGAAGGAATAGATTCTCCCCTAGAGTGAACTCGGGAAGGAATGCAGTCCTACAACACCTTTTACTGATTTTAGACCATTGAGACCTGTGCTGGAGAACAGAACTGTAGGATAATACATTTATGGGATTTTTTTTTTTTTTGAGACAGAGTCTTGATTTGCAGGTCAGAGTTGCCTTGAACCAACTAGGTAACCCAGGCTAGTCTTGAACTCACAGCAATCCTCTTGTCTCAGCCTTGCACATGCTGGGCTTACAAGCATGCACCACCACATCTGGTGGGAATTTATTTTAGCAGCCAGGTAACAAATATAATGTCCTCACAGATACAGTCTACACTGTTGGGACAGACAGTTACTCATTAGCTCATTCATTCACCTCTAAAACATTCATGGGGTCCCTGGTCAGGGCTGCAGAAAGGTCACTTGGATGGTGCCTCCTTCTGCCTTGACTGGGCTTCGGTTTCCACTTTGCACAGCGAGCATTTTGACTTCACAAGAGTACTTGGAGGAAGATTGACAGCTGTTCCTCAGTTCTAAGTGCAGACGGACTTCTGGGAGGGGAGATTTGCTTTGAAGATTGTCAGTCAGGCTTGTTGGTAGGGGAAGGGCTGGAAATGACAGGTCATATTTCTACTGCACTTGATAGGTGACACTGATCCTGACACTGACTGTGCCATTGCCCACAATGAGTAGATTATGCCTTGGAAGATTTGGGGAGCTGGGTTGGCCAGGATGAGCAGACATACCTAGCCCAGTGGTCCTCAAGTTGAGCTGGACATTAGAATGGCTGGAGGAACAACAACAAAAAACAGGAAAAAAAAAACCCCAAAATAAAACAAGACAAACAAAAATCCACGTACATGTCTGGGGCTGCCCCAGATCAATAAGATCACAACTGCTGAAGGTGAGGCCAAGAAAATGTACCAGGATGTAGTGTTTTCCAGAGCTCTCTCCCAAGGTGATTTCGATGCACAACTGAGGTCCAGATGCTCCTAACTGGGTCGGACAAAATGTATCTGTTCAGGACAGATGCATTCTCAACCAGGCAAACATCACCAGTACAGTTCTTGGGGCTGAAGCTGATTCTCCACCTAGCCCTCCCGGCCTCAGGAGCTCCTGTGTCCTCGGTCACAGCTTAGCATGGGACTGTGAAGTGCCTTCCACATGAGCAACATCTGGTAGGGTGCAAAGCGGTGCACAAGCAGTAGCTGACGGTACATGCAGGGGTCGAAGGAGGGATGTTGGGCTCCGGGCAGCTGCAAGCCGAAGGGCCGTATGCCCTCGTGGCCGCTGGGCTCCAGGTGGGCCTGCTGCAGACACATACCCATGTAGGCGTCGTCGATGGGGAACAGAGGTGTGTGGTGCGCAGCCGCGCGCAGGACCTGGGCTGTGTGGCTGGACAGAAGGAAGCCACCGCCGCTGCAGTACACGGGGTAGGCCTCCCCAGGGAAGAGCTGCGGGGGCACAAAGTACTTGCTCCTGCTGTCACGGATGGGTATGGAGCCATGCATCAGCTGCCCAGTGAAGAGATGGCCTTCAGGTGACTGCGCCTCTAGGAAGCTGAGTACGTTGGCTGTGTGTACGAAGACGTCATCATCGCAGCTGAGCAGGAAGCGTGCACGTGGGCAGCGCGCCGCTAGCCAGTCAAGCAGGTGCAGGTGCTTGAGCGTGAGGTTGAGGAAGGTGTCGGCGAAGGCCCACTGCAGCACGTCGCCGTGCTCGCGAGCCTCCAGGCCCACCAGCTCTGCCAGCTGCAGAGCGCGTGCCGCCTCCTGGGGTTCTGGGGTGCCCAGCAGGAACAGGCGGCGCACCCGCCGCCCGCGGTAGGTGCGCTCCTGGCCCCACGTGCGCCGGATGACCTCGCGGCGCTCGTAGTTCTCGGGAGACGACTTCACCGCCAGGAGCAGGAAGACGTCGTGGCGGCCAGCGCACTTGGACGGCGCATCCCAGAGCAGCGGGAACTGGCGGCAGTGTCTGTACCGCAGAAAGTCTTGGATCCTTGCAGGCAGCTGCTCAAAGTTGGCCACGCTGTTCGCTGAGGCATTGGCCATGCACGGGGTTCTGGGTTTCAGCGCCGAGGGCTGCGCGGCGACAGTGGGAACATCAGTGGGGTCATGAGTGGGGTCCTCCTGCTTCTCCAGCTGGGACTGAAATTCTTTGAGGAGCAACAGGCGCAGTACCAAGAAACTCATACCCACCAGGAGAAAGGGCACAGCCTTCAGATGCCTGGACCTGCGGCTGAGAAAAGCCATCTGCGGGGGAAACCAAGTCAGAGGTGAACCAGGAGTCTCATCCGTGATATCAGAGGTAAAAAGGAACCAAAATTCAAGATACACTGAGGTATGCCAGGTATCCCACAGTCAGGAGGATTTTTGTGACCTGCAAAGCCAAACTTCTCCTTGCTGCCGGACACCCACCGGATGTCAGGCCGGACCAGCAGACTCATGTCCAAAAGCAAAGTCTCCATCTTGTGAATTCCTTCGCATCTGTTTTTCTCATTGCGGTGAATGGTACCACCACTCACCCAGGTCCAACTGGAAACTCTGACCCTTCCCCTGCTCTCCTCAGCCTATATTCACTCCTCACATCCTTCGACTCTGCTTTCTACACTTCTCTCATGTTTATTCCCTTTTCTCCATCCCTGTCCAGCTTGAGTCCTCTCTAATCTATTCCCCCTCATTGTGGTCAGTCACCGAAGCAGGAGGTCATAGCACTGAACAGTTCTGGCTGCACTGCTTAGGACTGCACTGTCCAACCGTCTGTTTAGCTCTCTGGGTTTGAGTGTTCTCTTCTAAAGCACAGGTTAGCACATTACTACTCGTTAGGGTTGTGAGCATTAAATGAACATAACATGGCCCCAGAATGAATGACACCAATATTGTGACCTTTCGGCATCCTTCAGTTCCATTTGCTTCGGTTGTGACTGCTGGTATTATTTGTTGTTCCTCAACCTGTGAGGTCACACCCTCTCTTGTATGTAGCCTACCCAAGTGCACCCCAAGTGTGAGCTTCATGAAGACTCCTCAGGAAGGCACACACTTGTAATCTGTGCACTCACGAAGCAGAGGCAAGAGGACAGATCACCATGAGTTCAAGGCCAGCCTGGACTGCATATTGAGACTGCCTCAAAAAACCAAGCCAAACCAAACAACCCAGGACCAATCCTAGACCATAGCAACCTTTTCATATTATCCTGTTAAACGTATTGGTCACATTGAGTTGTCACACATGGGGCCCTGCCACTCTCTTCTTAAAACATATCCCTCTCTTTGTTTCATGGATTTCACACACTCCTAAGTTCCCTCCTTTTCTTTAACCACATCCCTCAGTTTCCTCTGTTCAGTTTGCCCTCTGCAAATACCTTTAGTAGTGAAGGATCTCCAAGCTCTGTGTAGGACACTCCTTTCACCTTTGTTCAGCACGACCTCCTTCTCTATTGGGACCCCCAAGCCCCAAAGTCAGACACCTGTTACTTGTCAGCTCCACCACCACTGTGTTCAAGCCAAAAACTTTGACTTCATCCTTTCCCTCCTTTCTGCACCCAACCCAGAGTGCAGAAATTTTTTTTTTTTTTGATACTGGGGATTAAACCCAGGATCTTCACAGCGAGTTACATCCCATGCCCTTTATTATTTTTGAGTCAGGGTCTTGCTAAGTCGCTCAGGTGGAACTTCAACTTGCAATTGCCCTGCCTCAGCTTCCCCAAATGCTAGGACTACAGGTATCCATCACTGTACTCAGTTAGCCCTGGTCACTTTTAATTACTTTTTTTTTTTTTTTTTTTGGTTTTTCTCCGGTACTGGGAACCGAACTCACGACCAGGCAGGCGCTTTTTGCCGCTGAGCTAAATCCCCAGCCCCGACTTTTAATTACTAAATACTTTGCTAACCTACACAGTTCCATTCCATGGTTAATATTTTGTTAACCTGCACAGTTCCATTGTATCAACAGGCTAACCCAAGCCAGCCTCTCCTGCTCAGATGAGTGCGCCTCCTGCCTGGTCTCTTCTCTCATTGTCTCCCTACAGCCTGCCCTCCTGTGCTGTAGCTGGAGGGATTGGACAGTGCAGATGTAGACGTCATTCCTCAAGACTTTTTCCCCAGCTTCCCCGGGAGCCACCTGTCTTGGTAATTGGCCAGTCTGCAATTGTAACTGCCAGATACTAAGCCTCTTCCTGCCTTGGGGCTTTTTCTTGTGCTGCTCACCTGCCAGGACTCCCCTTCCCTCCCTTGCCTAGGTAAGATCTACGGTCTGATTCACTTTTTTTTTTTTTTTTTTTAACAGAGCCTGTGCCATCCATTCTGACTTAAATTTGTGATCCTCCTGCCCCAGCCTCCAGAGAAGCTGGGATTATAAGGCATGTCCCACCACACCTGGCTCCTTGGTCCACTTGAAAGACATATTCTTACAGAAGCTTTAATGAAGCTCAAAGGAGACCAGGTGCCCTGTTAGCCATTCCTGAGTTATCTCCCCACCTAGTCTGTCAGCTTATTGAGTTCAGGGGTCACACGTGTGCTGTCCACTATTCGATTCCCAGGGCCATGCACAATATAATGGGGCAAATGCTGGTTTCCTAGGTTTGAATTTTACCTCTCTGACTTCTAGCTGCTTGGTTGAGCAAGTTGCTGTCCACTGGTGGCAAACCTATGGCATGCATGTCACAGAAAGCTGTTTGTTATCACTGAACACTCTAAAAGGTTCACTGTCACTGAAGCAGGATGTTTAATACTTACCTCTTCAGAGTTCTTGTGAAGGCTAAGTGGTAATGTGTGTAAAGAATTTGGGCTGGGTAGGGTGCTGCAGAACTATAATCCCAGAACTCTGAGAGGCTGAGGCAGGAGGATTGGACGTTTAAGCCCGGCAGGGACAATTTAGCTACTTTGTGAGACCCTGTCTTTAAGATAAAAAAAAGGGGTAAGAAAGCAAGTCTGGAAATGTAGCCCAGTGTGAAGGCCCTGGGTTCAATTCCCAATACTGCAAAAATAAAATTGGTATAATACTTGGCATATAGTAAGTGTTCAGTGTTAGGTATTGATTATCAAGGTGCCAATAAATAATTGTTGAATGACCACTTTCCCCAGAGTAGTCATTTATATTTAATTGGATCCTGCTGTGCTCAGATGCATGTTGAAGAAATATTTTCAGAATGAGTAGTTTGCACAGAGTAGGTGTCATTGGATTGGAGTGTGCCCTTGTGCTTGCATATTACACTCCATACACAACCCTGAGCTCAGAGTGGGCACAGATCATGACGAACGGCAGCAAGTTACCAAGATGAAAGGGGGAGGCCTACAGATGCGGTAGAGTCCTCACTGAGCATGAGGCAGTGCACGGTCCTGTGCCTGGCTCATTTCAGGGAGGCAGTAAGTAGTTTTCAATAAATAAAAGGATGAAAATAGAATTTGGTATCTGAATAACTGGGCTGTTTTAGCTCCTGGCCCAAGTTAACCTCCTAGGTTTCAGTTTTCTCATCTAAAAACTGAGAAAGTTAATATTTACCTCTCAAAAATGTAAGAAAATAATTCCGTAAATGCTCGTGTCTTATAAATGCCAGTTAAAAAATAAAAAAATATTCCTTCCCCACCCCAAATCATTTCTAGAAAAAAAAATAATCTGTCTTAATGCAACAATAGGTCTTATTATAAGGAAACATGCATTTACTTTGTTAACTCTGAGCCAGGAACCTGGATCCTAGCTAACTTTCGATAGAAGAGAGGAAAAGGTGTAGGGCCAGGCCTGTTCTGAAGGTGGTGCTGGCTTGTTCAGCAATATTCTTGGGTGCTGGGCTGTGCAGCCTGAGCGTCGCTGAGTGTCTTCTTGCCTTGCTAAGAGTCACTGAGTGTTTTCTCTGTGGTTCTTTCTGCTGGGCTCCCCCTTTGCTCATAGCATTCTTCCACACGCCCCAGACCACCTGCTCCTTAAACTTTGCTGACCTCTGCTGGCCCCGATCCCTTGTCTCTCAGGACTCAACTCCTGCACCAGCTTCTTCAGGTAACCTCCTGGTAAGTCCAGGCTAACAGATCTTGTCTCCTTGTTAGCACAATGGCTGCCGAGTGAGCAAAGCCGGTGAAAGAGGACAGACCTCCCACTTATTTGACCTGTTTGGATTGAACCTCAGGTTCTTTATTTGTGGGACCTTATGCAGGTTATTTATCTCAGTGTTTCATGATTCTATGAATTAATTTATGCAAGGCACTTAGATCTATATTTGGTATGCAGAAAGTACTATAGTAATGATAGCAATTAGTTTAGAGGGACAAGTAAATCATCTTTTTATGGGGTGAGTTCAGTCTTATAAAGTTCCTTTGCGGTCTCTGACTGCCAGTCTTTCTCACTCTGTTTATTACTCCACACTTTATAGTGCTATTCATACTACTCAGAATTTTTTCCCAGGACCTACCTTGGTTATTTCTTCCTCTTGGTTGATGGTCCGATGACTAGAATACAGATTCTTGGGCCATTTCTCAGCTCCATACTGCTCCCAGGTATTCTTGCGGGGAGTATTCGTACAGCAGATATAGCAGGCAAACCGGCCTTTATCACCCGTGTGGCCAACAGGCAGCCCTAACTTCTCGGGGCTGCACTGAACTACCCCATGTAGTATGGGGTCCTGGTTCTGTTCCCCTTGACCTCCCTCTAGTTCTTGCTTGGTACTTGAAGAAGAGAGTGAGGAGAAGGAAAATTATACCTCCTTCCTAATAGGAAGAAACCCAGGCAGGCCCTCATCTTACCTCGAATGTGTGAGACAGAAGACATAGACAGGGGCTATCCCCAGACTGGGACCAACTCCTGGGTTCACACACTGGGGCTCCACCTCCCAGGCTGTGGCTAGTTTAGTATTCTTGCATTTGGCCAATCCATGCTTTCACTCCTCCTCTTCAATGCAAAGGTGAAGATGGGGAGGGTAGCTCTGCTTCCTTAGCCAACACGAGTACCTGCTTCCTTTTTAAGATTAAGCACTGCAGTAGTTTCTTCTAGGAGACTCTGACCCTTATACTTACTTAACTGCTGTGTGCTTTTCAAGTAATACAGACACAACTGGATTGAAACATTTAATGCTGCCCTGTAGTGACTGGGTTTCCTTGGTAGATGGAGAGCTACTCCTAACATGGGACCTGTTCTCTTAACATAAGGTATGCTTCAAAGTCTTCTGTTGAATAAATTGCATGTAAAATGTTCACATAGGAGTGCTTCTCCCATCCCCAATACTGGGGATGGCCTCATGCATACTAGATAATGCTCATGCATACTGAGCTATACCTGCAGCCCCAAGTATGCTGAATTTGACAGTCAAGGGTTTCATCCCACTTCTGTGAGTGGCCAGGATGCAGGGATGAATCAAC